TTGCGGTCTAATGATATTTACGCTCAGAGAAAATAATTTTTTCATTTGATTCTCGAGACATGTAATTTATAATGATGGTATCGTCTCGAAAATACAATAGATTTTACAAAATTTATATTATTTGTTTTTAAATCGATTATTATAAATTATTCAATAAAATAAAAATTAGATATTTGAATTAAAAGTAATTGTAAATGGTATCTCTATAAGAAGATACGAGATAAAATTTGCGGGAAAGGAGTTTGGGGGGGGGCTTTTAAAAGTATGGTATATGAGTTTTTTATTTAGCTTAATAGGGTAACTAAAAATTTATTTTGAGATGACGTCGAAGTGATGAGTTTCAATAAAAAATATTTTTATTCTAACTTTTTATCTCGAAGTGAAAGATTTTAATAAAAAAGTTATATTTTATTGGAATTCGTTACCTTGATGTGACGAGTTCAATAAACACTGTAAAAAATATCGTAGATCTCAAAATATAAACCTAGATATCCTAATGGTTTAAATAAAAAACTCGTTATCTTTATTGGGCCAAAAAAGCCCAACATGAATGTCTTAATTATGAAGGCCACGTCTGTTATATTCGGCATTCTTGGTTGGGCTGTAGAAATGGGTCCGAGTTGCATTCAAGTCGACACGGATTCATCTCTTATTATTAAATATTTTAAGTAAAAAAAGTACACCAAGTCTTTATATTTTTAAAAAAATTAAAGTGATTCTCGTATTATAATAATAAATATTGGATTAAATGCTCGTCTTGTCTCTAAAGTATATTCAATTTATTAATTTCATTCCTATGGTATTTTCATCAGTTTAATCCTCAAAATTATTTTGATTATATAATCCGAAACCTTAAACTCTAAACTCTAACTAAAATCTCTAAATTATAGACCTTAACTTAAAACCCTAACCCTTATCCAGCAAACATAAGCCATAAATCCTAATTTAAAATTCTAAACAATAATAAATATTTTAAACATCGACACTATTAAATAACTTTGAGGGTTAAATTGATGTAAAATTATTATAAAGACGAAAATGATAAATTGAGTCAACTATAGAGACAAAAGTAAGCCTTAATCACTAGATATTTTAATATCAACAAGCCAACAATTTTATTGGGTCAAGTTAGAACATATTTTGTTTTTTATTTGATTTATATTTGAAATTCGTGATATTTTTTTAATATGTATTTTAGAATAAATATAATGTTTTTTTGTTATTATAATTAATATTTACTATAAAAGTTATTATTTGAGAATTGGGTTTTCAAAATTGCACCCTAAGCGCGCTTAGGCGCGAGGTACAAAGAGCCATGAAGGGAACACCCGCCATGATCAGAGCAAGGCATTTTACAGAAAGTGTCGTCAGGCGCGTGCTTATGAGTTTTAGGCGAGTGCAATAAACACGCGCTATTTCTGCCTTAGGGATAAGCTGTGATAAAAGTACTAACAACCGAAAATCATTAAAACTTTATACATTAAAGAAAGCCAAAGAAACAAAGTTAAATGAGACAATACAGTGGAAGGAGAAGAAAAAGAGCTGAAACAGTATAAACAAATAGATCTATTGAGTAGAAATTATGTGAATACGTGAGTCGCGTTAATAGCAGAAGTTAAGGCGTTGATTCATGCGAGGAAATTACACACATTTCTTTGTTGTACGACGCATGAATCCAGCAGTGAAGCGTGAACGCACGAGCCACCTTAATGGCTGGAATCAAGGCATTAACCTAGGTTGTATGATGCAGGAATCCAACAGTGAAGTGTGAATACACGAGCCACATTAATGGATGGATTTAAGACATTATTCTGGGTTCTATAATGCATGAATCTAAGTGTATATTAGCAGACAAAAAGAGTAGGTTGATTGGTGTAAAACTGCATAAAATGACTCGAGTTAAGGCATTAATATAGGTCATATAAGCTGCACAAAAGAGTAGTTTTGCATGAATCTAGGATTAATATATTTCATTAAATCATGACTCGAGGATTCATACATTAATAAACAAATTAAGCTACATAATGCATGAATCTAGGTGCATATAGGCGATGGTGAAGAAATAAGTGTGGGAAAGAGTTTGGGTGTTTCACTAGTGAACTGTGAATAATGGGGTAGATACCACCACAGGCGTAGCCCAGTTGACAAAGCAAGGGCTCTTAGGGTTATAAATTGGTCTCATGTCCTAGGTTCGAATCGCACTAGCTGATAATCTTGAAAAAAAACGGGGGACAGAGTGTGGGGTTCTTTGAGCATCTCCGGAGGTTGTCTTGTAGGGTCGGGTTCTTCAACTTAGCCTTGGGAGGTCCTACGTTATAAAAAAATAATGGGATAGATATTGTTTAGAATTGATTTATAAACATTTTAGCATAAAATGTACGGCTTACGTATGAAAAACGCACACTTACGTCTTACACCTAAATTTTAAGAATTTTTTGTGCTCCCATACGCCTTGTACCTTTAAAAACTCTTGCCGTCATCAGTGCGCGGGAATTGAGTTGAAGCCCATTTTTTCCCCCATATGGTAGGCAATTCTCGTTATGGCTTGGAAAATCGTACTAACTAAATTCCCGTTAATAAATTCGGCACATTTGTCTTTCAAACGTAAGCCTTGCCTAACACTCCTCTTCCTGAAACTCAGCATATATAAACTCTTTTTCCTCTATATTTTTAGGGTTTTTAGGGTTTCATCCCGATTAATTTAGAATGATCTTCATCGCACATTTGATTTTGATAGATAAGTCTCTTAGTAAAATTTTTCTACATACGTAAAATTTTAAATTTAATCTTACTTAAGTGATATGAAACTACTTACCAGAATCAATATGTTATAAATAAGAAAATAAAATAAAAAATGTTGTTCTAGTAACGAGACATTACAATAATAAATATAAATTAATAAATAAATTATTTAAACACATATTATTATTAAAAATGGGGCAAATTACGTATATAATTATCCACCTATTCTTTAATAAAATCACGTCTAATATTACGTTTTGATTCCGTTCGGATCACTTGACGTTAAAAAGATAACGATGATGTTGATGTGTCATAATAATGTATTATCACGTCAGTGGTTCTATTTATTTTTCTTAACAGAAAATGATCAAAACGAAACAAAAATATAAAATTAAATATAATTTAAAAACACTTAAATAACTAAAATAGAACAACGAGAATATATATGACTCAATATGTACTTTACACTACAAAATATTATCCTCATAACAAGAAATTATTTCATTGTCTTAAGTCACCACGTCATCTATTATCCGAGTGAATCACATCCATTAATTTTAAAATAACTCCCAAATAAGTGTCTATTTTTTCTTTACACGTAGGAAAGAAATGAAGATTTACCATAAAAATGAGATAATTTTTTTTACTGATTTCAGTGATTTAGACCACAGATAACGAGGTGAATCGAGTATATCTAATAGTTTTTTCCTTCTAACTATATGGAATGTAAATCCAGGATTTCTGGACACCTGTAAGCAAAAGTATTCAAAGGCACGAGTAGGCACCATCAAAGAAATCAATTCTTCTTGCATACGACATAGAAAACCTATAAAGCTTACTCGGTCACCGTAGGGCTCCACATGACCACCATTACTGTCGTGTTTGTTGATTTTTTCCACACTGCCAAGCCAAAACCAACTATAAAAACACCCCTTCCTCTTGCATTGAACAAGGCACAAAGTTGCTAAAAAAACACAGCAAAATCCTAGGCTTTTTGTCGGTCCATTACAATCCCATGGCTTCCAAGACAGTAGCTGTCCTTGTTCTTGCATTGTTCGCCTTTAATTTGCAAGCCACCCTAGGTTAATTCTCGAATCATTTTTTTTGCTCCCTAATTACGTTAATTTTGCGTTATATTTGATGGTTTATTATGACTAATTTTGTTTTGTTTGTAGGGGAAATAACATGTGAACACCTTGACCAAGACAGCTGCGCCTACGCCGTGGCATCCACGGGCAAGCGCTGTGTGCTGGAGAAGCACGTCAAGAGGAGCGGCGAAGAAGAATACACTTGCCGCACGTCCGAAATCGAAGCCGACAAGATCAGGAACTGGATCGAGACCGACCAATGCGTTAAAGCCTGCGGCATCGACCGGAATTCGTTCGGCATATCGTCGGATTCGCTCCTCGAGTCTAGCTTCACGGAAATGCTTTGCTCCTCTCAATGCTACAACGGCTGCCCCAACATCGTCGACCTTTACTTCAACCTCGCCGCCGGGGAAGGTATAATATCCGTGTTAATTGCATCAAACGTCCATATGGTCCGGATTTAAAAATGTTTGACGTCTTCTCTCGGCAGGTGTTTTCCTTCCGAAACTATGCGAGGCACAACGGGGAAACGTGCGAAGAGGAATGTCGGAGATCCAAAGCTCGGGTTTGGTCGCACCGGGGCCCGTCGGCGGTGTGAAGTTCATGGGAGTTGCCCCAGCATTTCCACCGTACTAAAACTATGATTGTGTTCAATCATAGTATAAAATAAATGAAAGTTGCACTAGCTAGGGTGGTTTCGCAAGCCGGGTTCAAGTGCTCGGACCATCGTCATTTGGTTCGTGCATGCTGTGAGCCATGAGCGTGTTGTGTTCAATCCAATAAGATGCTACTTTCTTAGATAGGTTTGCTTATTGTAATGGGTGTGAAAAACATAATTATAAACTTTATAAATATACTTATATTAACGTTATTACTTTCAAATTCCAATTTCTTTTACGGATTATTATCCGGTGTAACATAGTGAAAATATTTTATCACGAGTGAATTAAAAAATAAATTTTAAAATCATATCCATTCGTCATGCAGACAAACCTATTCTTTTATCTAATTCTAATAAATTCAATAAAGCATTAAGATTTTTTTATTAAACTAAAATGATTATAAAATAATATATGTTCAGTTGTGAAAGCCGAACTTTAGAGAATCCTGCTAGGTCTCTCGTATGCTTGGAAACTCAATTTTAAACACGTGATTAAGAAATGTGATTGTATGGACACTATTCGGATGATCAAGCAATACGGTATTAGCTCTGCTCAGCGCACGATTCTAGCTCATATCTCGGCACTGTTACAGCAAAATTGGACAGTTGATCTTCAACATGTTAATCGTGAAAGGAACAAGGTGGCGGATGCTATGACTAAGGTTGCTCGACAACAGGATTTGGAACTTACTTGGTTCTTGAATCCTCCTACTGTGATTCGGTCTCTATTGCCAAGAGGAGGCTGCTGCATTTTTCAACCCTTAAAAGCTTCAACTTTAGTGTGTTCTTCCTTTGTTTAACAAAAAAATATATTATCGACCATTTGACAATAAACGTCAAACTCGTTCAATGACAAGTGTAGAATGTGATCCGCCACATAGCCTAAAATTTACGTACTGCACACATAAATGTCCTTTAAGCTCGTCCATGTATAATATTGGGCCAAAAAGCCCAACATGAATGTCTTAATTATGAAGGCCACGTCTGTTCTACTCGGCATTCTTGGTTGGGCTGTAGAAATGGGTCCGAGTTGCCTTCAAGTCGGACATGGATTCTTCTCTTATTATTAAATATTTTGAGTAAAAAAATACACCAAGTCTTTATATTTTAAAGAAAATTAGTGTGATTCTCGTTTTATAATAATAAATATTGGATTAAGTACTTGTCTTGTCTCTAAAGTATATTCAATTTATTAATTTCATCATTCTTATGGTATTTTCGTCAGTTTAATCCTCAAAATTATTTAATTATAACATCCTAAATCTTAAATTCTAAACTTTAACTAAAATCTCTAAAGTTTAGACCTTAACTTAAAACCTTAACTCCTAACCCTTATCCATCAAATATAAGCCATAAATCCTAATTTAAAATCCTAAATAATAATAAATATTTTAAACATCGACACGATTAAATAACTTTGAGGGTTAAATTAATATAAAATTATTATAGAGACGAAAATGATAAATTGAATACTATAAAGACAAAAGTAAGCTTTAATCTCTATATATTTTAATAGCAACAAGCCAACAATTTTATTGCGTCAAGTTAGAACATATTTTGTCTCTATAAGAAGCGCACCTCGAGCTGTTTCCGACCCCGGAGCCAACCCCCGCGAAAGACCCAGACAAGAGGAAGAAGAAGAAGAAGAATCAAAGCAGCAAGTTCAAGCGCAAAAAGGAAGGACCCAAAGACCCCAATAATGGCTACAAAAAGTGGATTAGAAAACACCCGCTTAGAGTTCCTGGCATGAGGCCTGGTGAAAGCTGCTATATATGCAAAGCCAATGATCATATTGCCAAGCTTTGCCCTCAAAAAGCTCAATGGGAGAAGCATATGGTTAGATTTTCTTTTTGATTTCAGGCTTTTCATCCCCCTTTCTTTTCCTGGTTTAATTGTGGTTTTTTATGAGTTTTTTTTTTTCCTTTTACTTTTGATGTTTAAAGATATGTTTGCACTGTCGTCAACGTGGACATTGTCTGAAGAACTGCCCTGATGTAATGGATAAAAAGACGTGTTACAACTGTGGAGAAACCGGACATTCGCTTTCGAAATGTCCTCAACCTCTTCAAGATGGTAATTTGCTCGTATCGATGCTATATGTTCGAATGCTTTACAGTGGTTTCTTTTACCATTGTGATTACAATTACTTTAAAATGAATTTGATTCTAGCTTAGTTGTGGTAGCTTTTACCTTGTAGCATAAGATATGATTTAGACCTTCGGAATTTCTGTTCTCGAACAGGCTTGTTTGTGAGGATTTCATCGAGGAGAAGCTCTACGTAAACATACTTTTTTCACGCTCACAAGTCACAATTATGGTTTGTTTGTGTTTGAGCTGTTCATCATTTATTGCTATGGATGTCGATTATTAAAATCTTTTTTTGTTGCAGGGGGGACTAAGTTTGCCCAATGTTTTGTCTGTAAGGAAATTGGACATTTGAGCAAAAACTGCCCCAAAAACACTCATGGAATCTATCCGAAGGTATGTTTGAATAAATCATATTTGTAGCTTTTTTATGTAATGCAGTGTCTTATGTGTTTTGGGGGAGCAGACATCATGTTTATGATGTGGATTTTGATTGATAAATGTCTCGATTTATTTCAGCATTCTTTCTCTTCACCAATTTGACACTTGATCTTTTGATCTCCTATAGGGCGGTTGTTGCAAAATATGTGGCGGTGTAACCCATTTGGCCAAAGATTGTCCCGATAAAGGCAAAAGAGCATTTTCTGCAGCTAATGGAGAAGACACATGTAAGATTTTTAACTACCAATCTTGGGGATTTATCCCAAACGTTCTGCTGTTTGTTTGGAATAATTCATGTAACTGTAACCTAAATTTACCTCGAATGAAACCCGCTGTTCTTTTACAAGTGTTGTATCAATTAGTGAACTTCTCTAAGTACTCAGTACCCCAAGATAAGTTATTGCTGTTTGAGGACAAGATGTACGTGTCATATCTGGTTTTAATAAGAACCATGAAAATCTTGTTTTAGTTATTTTAGGTTGAATAGGGAAGAGGAAACAAGTATCTTTCAAAAGTTTCTCGGTGAATTTGGGTTCTCGATCATGTTATTCTTGTTAAGTAATGATAAGAAGTTGAATGACAAAATAAAGACACGATCTTATCAGGAGATGAATTTTGGTCCTTTGAGCTTGCAAGCAATGCTCTTCTCCGTTAAGCTGAAGTTTTTATTTTCAGTTACACGATAAGATAGATGTACAAACTTGGGACTGGAGCAGTTGTGATAATGCTTCTAAGATGTAAACCTCTGCTTATATTGACCTCAACTGCTTTCGGGAAAAAAAACCTCGACTTTGAGGATAGCATGAAAGATTCAGTGTTGGTAGCTTAATCTGTCAACTTATTTTATGATGAAAGCAAATAACATGCTAGCAATCTGCTAGCAATCTAGTTGACCTGCTAAAAACTTGTACTTTTGCTCTTTCTGAATGCGCAATCACACGATGTAGGGTTATGCAAGTGACGAAATTTGTCAGCGGAGACGAACTCGAGGACGACTTTGTAACACAGCAGTCAACAAACAATGCTTCTGATGCTAAGATAAATTCTGAAAAACAACAAGGGCCTGAAGTAATAAATTTTGTAGGATGAAAATTCTCTTGTTCCCTCAAATATGTTTCTATTTTCTCCCTGTTTTAGTATTTGGATTTTCCCCTTACACCAGCACTGGTTATTGTATTTCTATGTTTGGTCCTGCTTGGAATAGCATTGGGAATTTTGCTTTTTCCCCTCAATTCATTGCTTAACATAGAGTTGAATGAATTCTTTCAAGAGTAGTGTGCTTCGGAGGTCACTGAATTATGCTCAAATATTTCTTTTTGGTCACTGGATTTTCAAATATTTTATAAAATAGTCATTAAGCTTCTTGAACCATTAAAAACTGGTCATTGTAACATTTCAATAATTGTACTTTACCCCTCTTTCAATTGACAGATTGTTCATGTCTATCCTTGTAAGACATTACAATCCATCTCACTTTTGTTTATAATGTCATTATCTTGTCAATAATCATCTAATAATCAAAATATATCTGGACTGTATACTAGAATAAATCCGGACATAATTTATATAAAATGGACTTAAATCAAGATAAAATCAATGGTAAATTATACAGTTCATCATTGAACTTTACTCTCTTTCTTATTTTCTCACCGTACTTTTTTTTCTTTCTATTTTGCTCATTGAACTTTACATATTGAATCATTTTGCTCACTCTACCGTTAACTCTCTAACGGTGTGATGATGTGTTATTTATTATTATTATTTTAATATAAAATTATTGAAAATATAAAGGGTAAATTACACCGTTCCTCATTGAACTTTACTCTCTCTCCTATTTTGTTCACCCAACTATAAAATACAAACAGAAGGTGGCTAGATGCCACCGTCGACCGTCGTATATGGTGGTCGTTTGGTCCCAAATTTCACGGGTTTTTTCGCCTCGACACATTGGGTCCGAATCCGACCTCCATTTTGTCGGAACTTGCTCCAAAATCCACAAGTTGGAGATTAAAAGTGAGGAAGACGAAATATTTGAATCGAGATTCACGGATTTTGTGACATTTTCAGTGAAACAACCACTAGATTTGGACTTAGGGGGTCGAGATGAATCGACCCATGAATTTTGAGACCGAACGACCACCATCAATGACTGTAGATGGTGGCCAGAATGATGGTGGCTGCAGCCGCAACCGGTCAACTTAGTTGCAAAGAAGAGGATTCGGAATGACATCATTTTGGTGTATATTTGAGTTTTTCAAAACGACGTCTTTTTTGATGCTTGTGTCATGTCATCACACGTTAGAGAGCTAATAGCATAGTGAGCAAAATGATTCAATATGTAAAGTTTAGTGAGCAAAATAGAAAAATAAAAAGTACAGTGAGTAAAATAAGAGCGAGTAAAATTCAAAGAGAAACGGTCTAATTTACTCTAAAATCAAAATCGATCTTATTTTTCCGAATAAAATATGAGAAGCTAATGCCAAAACCTGTAGCCTGATAAAAATAGGGAACAAGAGAAATTGGGGCATGGAAACTTTGGTAGAGGTGACCGGTTCCCAAAATAGGGAACAAGAGGAAATGGGATATGAGTAAGAATGAATGTAGCCTTTGTTTCCGCCCTCAAATTTCTCTTCACCATTCATTCTTACTCATATCGTATCCAATACTACATTTCTTTCTTCCATTCTTCTCACTTTCCATCCTCCCACAAAGCCTCTCCTTCTCTTTGGACAACAACATGGTGAGGTTTCTTTTCCGACGTATACTTATCGGATTTATATTCGATATATGTGCCCATCGACGTACGTATATTCGGTTAATATGTATTTTGTTGTTCTTGGTTTCATATATAGGCGAACGCGGCGTCCGGAATGGCTGTCGACGACGAATGCAAGCTGAAATTCTTGGAGCTAAAGGCGAAGAGGAACTACCGGTACATCATATTCAAGATTCACGAGCAACAAGTGGTGGTCGATAAAGTCGGGAACCCGGCGTCGAGTTACGAGGAGTTCACGGCATCCCTGCCTACCGACGAGTGCCGATACGCCGTCTTTGATTTTGATTTCACCACCGATGAGAACTGCCAGAAAAGCAAAATCTTCTTCATTGCATGGTAACCCTAATCTATACACCTCTAGGCCATTCATTCAACACTAGTTGCAACTTGGGAACACTAAGTTTTGCTTGTTTCGGAGACCTCACTTAGTGTTTAAGCAAAAGGGTACACATGCACTTTTTTTAAAACGAATCCTTAGTGGCTCTCGTACTATTTTTTTTCTTTTAACGAGGTCCTCTAACTCAAAAGAAAACAATGTGATATTTTAACCAATATTTTTCGTCATTGACCAATGATTTCATTAATTCCTGCTGCTGTGGATGCTTCCTCAAATCTGTTATGAAGGGAATATTGTTTGTGGATGTTGGTATAGATGAAAATAATTAGTTTCCAATTGCATGAACAGTTATTGAAGGGGAAGAAAAAGAATCATGGATTTTGCATAAACTTATTGTTGACTTAGAGTATTATAATGACGAAGGACTTACATTAATTGTTGGTCCATGACGGAAAACATTGGTCAAAACATAAAATTAGATTCTTTTTTAGTTGGAAGACTACATTAAGAGAAAAACTAGTAGAAGAGCCACATTGGTTTCTTTCTAAAAGTACATAGGCTTTGCGTATCTTCTGCCTAGAGTTTATTATAGGTTAAAAAACGAATGGAGTTCTATAACCCTCGAGTCTCATTTTTGTTCAAGTAAGTTGCAGGTCGCCCGATACATCAAGGGTGAGAAGCAAGATGGTGTACGCAAGCTCCAAGGACAGATTCAAGAGGGAACTTGATGGCATTCAAGTGGAGTTGCAGGCAACAGATCCTAGTGAAATGAGCTTCGACATCATTAAATGCCGTGCAATTTAAACGCTGTCGTTTTGTTTGCCTAGTCTTCTTCTTCTTCTCCCCAAAACATTTGATCGGCCATGGCCATGGCCATCACCGTCTCCGAGTATCCCTTATTTTGTGTGTGTTTTCTTGCCTGAAAGGATTCATCTTCTGGTGTGTGGTTTTGTGTTTTGTTTTTCTTACCACTCATTGTGTAGCTTTAATGTAGCTCCTCAGTTCTCTTTACTTTACGATAATATATTTTTATTCATATCAGTTTTAAATTCAAAATAGTTCAAAATCGACATGCTCAGATTACTGAATAAATTAGATTAGAACACGTCATATACGAAGAATGTGTTTCTTAGATATCCGTAAATATATATTATTTTATTCTTGATAATATAATTACGATCATAAATCCGATGACACATGTCTTTTATCGGGTTTTTTTTCCTATTACTATTAGTATAAAATAAGAACCAATGGTCGTGAAAAAGAATAACTCAATGATTTTGATGCATCAATGCATTCTGCCTAAGGTTGCCGTAAATAACATACCAAATAATCTTCTCATTTTCATCTGTTCGTCTGCTTACCTTTGCTTTTCGTAAAATTTCTTCTCCCATTCGTCTACTCGCTTCATCGAATTCTCCTTCTCACTAAGGAAAGCGTGTAGTGATGCCGGATCGTACGGCGAAGGCATGGTGCAGGGGCTCGTAACCGAGGGACCCTTCACAAGTGATTCCATCATGAAATCCTTCTTTGCTCCGTTGGCCGGACAAGCCATCGATTCCGAACATAACTCGACGGCTTTTTCGGGTACGGTGGGCTTGTATAGCATCAGCTTACCGTACTCGTTTAAGAGATGAAACATGTAGTCATACACGTTGTCTACCTTTAAATCCTCTTTTATAAACTCACTTGCTGCCTTTCCCATTGCCTTTGCCTGAGCAAACAAATGGAATGAGGGGGAAAACAATACATATGTATATAAGGGTTAATTCTATCAAGCATACCTAAAGTAAGAATGGATTCTAAATTGGTCTTTGAACTTCTAAAACGTTCTAATTGAATCCTCAAGACATCAAAATATCATATTAGTCAGATTCTTCCACCAATCTAACATCCGCCTAACTATTGCATGTCAAAAGTGTAGATTCAAGCTATTCATGCCATATGAACAAATACGTCCAAAATTTGAACTATGTGCTTTAAATGTAATATACATCAGATTTGAGTCAACGTTTGATGTCCAAGCTTACTGTTAGCAGAGACAAAACTATGACCAAACATTAGGAGGGGCAAAAATCTATTAAGTATTAAAATCTAAAAATTAAAAGGCCTTATTTGACTAATATTTAAACTAACAAAGACCTAAAATGTTTAATACTTAAACTTTTAATTTTTAATACTATAATTATTTAAAAGGGTAAATTATATGTTTAATACTTAAACTTTTAATTTTTTCAAAATCATACCTAAAGTTTAGTTTTTGTTTCATTTTAGTGCCCCTTAATTTTGAAAAATATTGAAAGTTTAGGTACTAAAACAGACCAAAACTGATAGTTTAGGTACTAAACGCTTTAAATTTTTAACGGCACGATACTAAAATGAAAAAAAAAACTAAAACGTTAGGCATAGTTTTGAAAAAACTGAAAGTCTAAGTATTAAAATAGGCCAAAATTGATAGTTTAAGTACTAAATGCTAGTTTACCCTATTTAAATTTCACACTATAGTTTAAAGATGTTGCATGAAATTAACCCAATATATAAAGAAGATTAGTACCTCTTCAAGATGGGAGTTGCCCCAGTCAACTGCAAACTTGATAGATCTGCACTTATCATCCGGCTTAATGGGCCAATAATGATGCAATGGTTTCAAACCTCTGGTGAAGAAATCGAAGTACCGGGGTGTTACGAGCAAGGTAACAGAATCACAAGCCAGGATGTACTTTTCACTCACGGACCATGCAGACCCTTCAACGTATATCTTAAACCTACAACAATTGTGCACTCAGAACACAGAGCTTGATTTAAAAATGGGTAAATTTGACATTTAGTACCTAAACTATCAGTTTTAGTCTGTTTTAACACCTTAACTTTCAATTTTTTCAAAACCGTCCATAACATTTACTTTTTGTTTCATTTTGATATCATGTCCTTGAAAATTTAACGGATGATATTTTTATGGGTAAATTATATCATTCATCACTAACTAAATTGTCACTCCTATTTTTGTTATTAAAGTTTAAAATTTTTTAATTTAACTACTTAACTTTCAAATTACTCATGTTTTAATCACTTTAATTTATTTTATTAATAATATTTTGTGACATGATATTTTTATTATGTTATTAATATACAATTAAAATAAAAAAAATTGAAAGTAGAGTGATTAAATTAGGAGTAATTTGAAAGTTAAGTAATTAAATTAAAAAACTAAACTTCAATGACCAAAATATGAGTGAGAAGATAGTTGAGTGATGCATGATGTAATTTACTGATAAAGAATGCCAAGTTCTAAAAGTTCTTGTAAGTTTTTAATAGTGAGATACTAAAATGAAACAATAACTAAATGTTATATTTTCGTTATTAAAGTTTAAAATTTTTTAATTTAACTACTTAACTTTCAAATTACTCATGTTTTAATCACTTTAATTTATTTTATTAATAATATTTTGTGACATGATATTTTTATTATTTTATTAATATACAATTAAAATAAAAAAAATTGAAAGTAGAGTGATTAAATTAGGAGTAATTTGAAAGTTAAGTAATTAAATTTAAAAACTAAACTTCAATGACCAAAATATGAGTGAGAAGATAGTTGAGTGATGCATGATGTAATTTACTGATAAAGAATGCCAAGTTCTAAAAGTTCTTGTAAGTTTTTAATAGTGAGATACTAAAATGAAACAATAACTAAATGTTATATATGGTTTTGAAAAAAAATAAAACTTTAGGTACAAAAACAGACCAAAACTGGTAGTTTAAGTACTAAACTCATAATTTATCCAGAAAGCGAAGGGACTTGATAATTTAACCTGTGTGCACATTGGCTGGCCAAGTTCGATGTCTTGTAGCCTTGTGTTCTTTCTTCTGTCCAGTTCTGCAGATGCCCTTGTTAGCTTGATTCTGGAAGAGTAAATCTGAAGAAACTGAATTAGAACCTAAAAAGGAAAGACGATGGTTGGTTGTCACCTGGGCAAAGACACGGGCACCCCAGTCATGTGTGTCGGAAACGTTGCATTTTAGGAGGTCTTGCCTGGTTTCGGCAACCTCGGGATTTCCTTTCCAGTATGCGTATGGTTCCCTTTCCTCCCATTTAACTCTTTGGTTGCCTTCCATTAGGTCATTTAACAATGGCACCCACGACTTTAAGCGAATCTCAGGCCTGATTCAATCACATAAAAGAAAAGAAAAAACAAAGTAGGTGCCATGCACCATGTAAGTTATCATATCTCTATAATATATGTTAAATTTTATAAAAGGCCCCTATACTATTTGTTTTTCAAAATCCTAGTCCATTTACTAAAAGTAGAGCACAAGGTTCTTAACCTTGAGGTCGTGGGATCGAGTCCCACGGAGGACATTTCATAATTCGGAGGTCTTTTACGGAAGCTGCTCTCAACCTGGTGTTGGGGGTAGCCTACTATCTTACCTCCCCCTTACCCCATACATATGGGAAAAAGGGACAGCCATTTTTATACTAAAATTTAGGTTAAATTACATGTTTAGTATATACACTATCAGTTTTAATCCATTTTAGACTTAAATTTTTAATTTTTTAAAATTCTACCTAAAATTTAATTTTTATTTCATTTTAACACCCGCCATTAAAAACCTTAATTTTTCATTTTATTACTCATGTTCAAAATTTAACGTTAAATTTGGGGGGAAAGAAAATTTAGATACTAAAACGGACCAAAACTGATGATAGTTGAAGTAATAAACGCATTAAGTTTTGAATGACGGGTACTAAAATGAATTGAAAATTAAATGTAGGGTATGATTTTGAAAAAAATAAAAGTTTAGATATTAAAACTGATTAAAACTGATGTTCAGGTACTAAATATGCAATTTACCCTAAAATTAAATCCAAAAACGCATACTTAGGGAGCTGAGGAAAAGTTAAGTGAGAAGGAAAGGGTCTAATTGTTCTAACCATCCCCAGAAGGACCAGTCTGGAAAAACGATGTCGAGAGTTTCATCATCCTTGCAGTAACGGAACAGAGGAGGTGGTGTAGTGGCATTGGGCCCACCGTAGTCGACGGCTCTGATGACCGGCCAGTCAACGCAATCAAACATGAGGTCCAAATCGGGAATTTTCCCCGGGTACTTCCTTAACAACTGTAGGATCCCCCACAGCGTAAAAACATCCCTCGTCTGAAACGCGTCCTGGTATTTCTCCATGTACGCCGTCCCGTTCACTATAACTAATCTGAAATTAGCCGTCGGTCTAGCTCTCTCCACCATGTCCAGTGTGATCCCCGTGTAGGCCCACGGCCTTAGATCCTCGTGGATCCAACGGAAGTACTCCGGACACGTGGCGTCTGCATTGGGAGCTTCATATTCGACGGTTGTCGGGTAGTGTTTGGGGCAGGTTCCTGTGAGCTCGTATTCACTGCAGTTGAGTGCGATTTCGATTTGCTGTCCGGACTTATTGCGGCTGGAAGCTCCTGTTTTTGAGCTTAGCGGAGATATCTGAGCTAAGCCGCCGACGAGAGTCTAAAACAGACGGCGCCCGGTTTTTTAAAATTAAAAACGAAATAAATTAGAAATAAATAAAGATAGTAAGGAGGGATCACAAAAGCAATTACCAGAAAAGATAAATTACTACACAAGTTATCCACTTTAGGTTTTAACATAAATCTCAAATCTTCAATTTCATCAAATTATATTATTAAATTTTTATTTATAATGAATTATAACACTTATACTGACTTCTATTTGATGTAGTTCTAATGGGAAAAAAAACAACCTAGCTACTTAGTGCATTTTTATTATTAAATAAATTATATTATCTCTACATTGATTTTTATGTAATTACATTGACGTAATGTTAAAAACATTATATCAAAAATGATTTTTTTATTAAAAACATTAGATGAATGACAACCATCACTTGTTACTGATATGATATTTTTACACGTATTGTTTAAGTGCGGCAGAACATAACTAGGGCTAGTGGAGCCATGACCCCCAAATTTAAAAAATTATAGTCTCAACTCTTTAAATTTTCAAAAAAAATTGTTACCCCCAAAATTTTTAAAAATTTAGGTTAAATTTTAAAGTTTTTGAATATTCTCAATTAAATCCGCTCCCATAAATTTAAGAAAAATCTAATTAAGTTTCTCAAATTTTCAAAAATTTTAGTTAAACCCTAATAATTTTGAAAAAAATATAACTGAACCCTTCAAAATTTTGGAAAATTTTAATTTTAATTTCTAAATGTTTTTAAAGTTTTAAGTTGGCCCCAATCTCTATCAAGTTCTGCCACTGTTTAAGTGACATATGTTATGTCATTTTTTTTAATAATATAATATATATCATGTCAATAATTAAAATATATAAAAGTATCACGTCAATAAGTAACAATGATATTCAGTCAACTAATGATTTATATTAAAAAAATTAAATTAAAATTGAAATGTTGAGGATTAAAGCGTTTAATAAAATACATATCAAAATGAAGTAAATATTTAACATTGTACAAATTATATTTTCTGCATATTTTTATTTATTTATACATGTTAGAATCTATTTTAGAAAGGAAACAGATGATTTTTATCAGCTAAAGAACAGTCATAGATGTTAATGAAGTAAATATTTGGATAAATCAAGCGTTTAATATCTAAATTATTAATTTTAGTTTGTTTTAGTATATAAACTTCTAATTTTTAAAATCATACCTAAATTTAATTTTTGTTTCATATTATACCTACATTCAAAATTTAACATTAAGTTTTGAAAAATATTGAAAGTTTATGTACTAAAACAGATCAAAACTGATAGTTTATGTGTTAAATGAGTTAAAATTTAACGAATGGTTACTAAAATGAAACAAAAATTAAATATTATGTATGGTTTTGAAAAAACTGAAAGCGTACGAAAATTGACTAAAATTGATAGCATAGGTACTAAATGCATAGTTTAGCATAAATATTTTTATGTGGCATAAACCATTTAAAACCCAAGGGTTGGGGGGATCCACATTTGTCAACTTGAAAATGTCCAAAACCAACAAACAATTTTGAAAAATTAGGTATGGGATGGTAAACAAAATCAAAGCAGGACACCAAGAAGAAATCAAACGGGTATAATTAATACGTGTCGGGCCAGCTGAACCGTGACACGCGGACCGGAGTAATTGATTGAGACCATCTCTCGCGAATGAAGTTTTTTAATATTGACCGACACCTAAGGCAAAACCTTACGAAATTTAATTGTTTTTCTACTCTAATTACGGAATTCGCGACGCTTCTTCGATTCACGGTTTTCGACCTAGTTTTCTAAGATTCTCGATGAACGAAAGAGGTAAATATCGAATCAATTTCGTGCTAAACGATGCAGTATAAGTCGGAAAATATAAAGAATTCCACATTACCTACCGTAGTGTCGAGAAAGTGCGTGGAGATCAACGCGCCGACGAGTAGCAGGACGGATACGACGCCTACAGATCTGCCAGTTGATTTCGTCAAAGTCCGCCAGATCGTGTCCGTTGATATCGCCTGTTTCCCGTTTGCCCGCATAACGTCAGTATTCATCTCTGATTAATCAACTTCCCGCCTCCGTCGCTCCGCTGCAAAGATCTGTACGTACACTCCGTCTATGTAGCTCAGCAGTGAAGAGCTTCGAATTGTTTTTCCTTTTTTCTGCTTCAAAAAAAATTGGCGAGCAGAGGAGAAAAATCCCGTGAAGCTTGGAAAGCAAATTCCACACTGTTCTGCACTTAAGCAACCAAAGGTTAATTTAGTTTAATGGCGGAAGGTGATTGAAATTTGGAAAAGTTTGATTGGGGGATGGGAAAGTGAAGGAAAGGAGATTGAATGAAGACTAAAATGAAAAAAAAAATCTTCAAAACAGGACTGTAGTCGATAGGAAAATTCATACAAATTTGATGATATTCGGATAACAAATCCCCAAATCTTTAATTATGAACAGTGAAAGATGAAAATTCAATTTATATAGAGCTCGGGTATCGGCGATGGCAGCAGTGCGCTGCCCACGGCCTCGCTTTTAAGAGGTTTTCTATAACGATAATTCAATGCATTCACCTCTTCTCTGCTTGTTCTTTATACAACGAGGAGTAACCGATTTATGCTATTTTAAAATTATTTTATGAAGTATGCTTTTTATATTTAATATTTAAACAAAATTAATTGTTATATTTTAATGTCCTTGGTGAATTTTCAAACAATCCAATCTTTAAAATATTAATGAAGCTGAATCTTTTAACTATTAAATATTACAAAATTATCTCCCAACTACATGATATTATTTTTTGAGTCCCTCGACTATTAAATATTACAAAATGATCATCTCACTATTTATTATGTTTTATACTAGTCCTTTTTTTGTTAAAAATTAATAATAATTTGAGTTGGATGTTAATTTGTTGTCTGATATATAATAGTCGTTTGAGATTTTTGGGATCAGATTTAATCATATCTTAAATAGAATATTAACATCTAGCCTCATACTGCCATTAATTTTTTAACAGAAAATGACATCTAAAACATGATGAATAGTCAGATGATCATTTTATAACTTTGAATAGTCGAGGGACTCAATAAAGAAATATTATATAGTCAAATGATCATTTTATAACTTTTGATAGTAAAAAAATAACAAAAAAACATCCAATAGTTAGAGATCATTTGTATACTTTACCACGTGTAATCGAATTCAAGAAATAATTAAAGTACTTCTGTTATGTCACCGAAAATCTTAAATAGGTGTTGGGCCTTCTACTTTGAGCAACCCATAGATTTGGGCCTTTGATTTAACTCGAGCCTACAACCAGTAGCTCAGTAAATATTAAATATTTTATAATACTTTATTCAATAAAATATAATAGTTGAAGGGTTAAATATTTTATTTATACACTTATTGATTTTATATTCAATATTAATTTGATAGTTTTAATTTTTTTATTTAAGATATTTAGAAAATCACTATAATTATATTTATTATTGTTTAAAAAGTTAGTTTTTTTATATTTCTAATTAATTTAACATCTTAATAATTCTTGACATCAACTTGATCAAATATTTAAATATTGATACACTGTGAAATTCACACGTTGATGTCATTTTGTACTTTGATATTAAATTTTGGAGAAAATTTGTAAATAAAATAAACAAATTGAATATAATTTTTGACAATTCAAAATTAATAAATTTGATCGTGAGATTTTCAAATCTTATATTATTTATATGTGATTTTTAATATATATTAATTGGATGATTGAATACAAGACATATCAATGTGTTTCGTTGTGATCTGATTGACTCGTGCTAGAGTAATTTTTTTTAATATTTTTATTTATTATTCTTATTTCTTTTATTTTAATGTTGATAGACTTCGTTTCAAAAATCTACCACATCAATAAAAACGTCTTTATTGAAAAAGTATTACTTTCCCAAATAATTTCATTTGGATGTCATTTTTTTTATTAATTTATGATAAGTATAAGATAATGTTTATTTAAAGATTAATCTCAATTTTTAAATATTAAACACTCACACTCATAACATCTATAGTGTTCGAATTCAAGATCTCAAATAATAATAATAATTCATTTGTTGTAGAAATCGTTTGATTAGTGCTATTTGGATGTCATTTATAATTTCAAAAAACATTATAACTATGATAATTATGCTCCAAACAATCCCAACAAACTACACCCTAAAGTTTCCTTTATTCATGTACGAAGAGATTGATAAAAGGGAGATACTATTTAATATTTTAAAATAATGAAAAAGAAGACAAGGGGACTGACATGTCTCTTCAGCTTTCTTTCGTCTTATACTTTGCAGCTTTCTAGCGGGAGATATTATTACTTGACCTATTCTCATATTTAATGAGATAGGTAAGGTAGTAGGATGTCGAAAGACCTCGATAATTATGAATTGTTTATCGTGAGATTCGATCCCACGATCACAAGGTTATGAGCATTGCGTTTTATCAACTGAACTGAACGGGTAATTCCTAACTGGAGATATGTTTATTTAAAATTAAGATTCTATTAATATAAATATATAATATATATTTCTATTAACTTAGAAGAAATAAATGATAATATTTATTCAAATATAATTTTTAATTATGTGATATGACACACTAATACTCTTAATATTTATAATATTTAAATTTAAATTTTAAAATATAATAATAATTTTTTTACTATCGGTAAGTTATGTCACAGAGTATCTCTATGTTGTCCGAAACATGCTGACTTTTTCGTTTTCGTTGGTAGGAAAGCAGACAGACACAGTGCTTGCTTTTACTGTGAGAGAGTGGGAATTATCTTTCTTCGCAGTTGATTCAGTAAAGCTGAGTTGTTTTTCGTTCCGTTACTTTCTACTCTCTGTTCACTGAAAACTGTGTCTTGCGGGCCTCACCACACAAAAGAAAGCTACAACAATGGCAAAAGATTACTACCACTACTTTCCTATAGACCACGTCTCATACTACCAAAGCTTGGGTAAGTAAAATTAATTAAAGGGTAAACTACATAATAGGTCACCAAACGTTTAGGATTCTTGCATTTTGGTCATCCATCTTTTAAAAATTGCAATTAAGTCACTGAACTTTTAGTTCGACCCCAGTCTACGGGGTTACATCCAGTTAGTTTTATCTGATGCGGCAAGTTATCTCCCGTTAACCATTATCTTCTTCTTCTTCTTCTTCTTGCCTTGCCTTCACTATGCGATTTGCAAGCTCTTGCAAGAGTATCTTAGGTCAATCCAGAGGGCAATCTTGTTGGGTTTTGGAGAGAACCATTGCCACTGGTCTCGTAAAATTGTGCTTGCTTTCATCATCCCCTTGTTGTCGATCTTTTCGCCTTGGTTTGAGAAATTGCACGAAGCTTGCAGTTATAGAATTACCGTTGAAAAGTCGACACGTACTAGCCGTCATCTTTTTCATTGTTCACATTCTACTTACGAATTATGGTGTCACTGAAATTCAAGATAATATACCCGGCTAAAATGTGTATCTTGTGGGGCTTAGCATCGTCAATGGAATAACGTTGCTCCCTTTCATAGTTGAAACAATTATGAGACCGTTGATTATGACAGTCGTGATTGCTTTGAAAAATCTGCATATCGATTTTTTTTTCAAAGAACCAAAGAAAAAGGACTAGTAGAAGAAATGAAGAACACTATCTACTTCAGCAAGTTTGCTTCCACCGGAGAAAGGTTATAAATGTATATTACCACTAGTTTCTAACAATTTTACATTACAATTCTTTGTAATCCGTGTAGACTCCAGATTTTGTCCTCATTCACAACACTACACCCATGCCCACGTGAAGCTGCCAGCCATCCTATGCCCACTTGCCGTTGTCATTGTCACCCACTATTAGAAGATAAGCTAAAAAAATTAAAGCATCATCACACCAACCAAGTTGCACGATTTTAAAATATTAAATCAATGTAAATTTGGTTATAAAAAAAAGTGGAATGCATGTATGAAAGGGAGGAAAAAAAACAGAAACCAAGGGAAACAATTGTAGGGGACAGTTGCTCTCGGTTTTTCAGCAAGGAAAATAGCAATAAAATACATATTTTTTTCAGCAATCCTAAGGTATTTCAGTTTATATTTTAGTTTTTTTTTTAATTTATTTGTTCAATTCGAATGCAGCTAATAATAAGAATTTTAATTTGTAATTTTGTTCGTAGTTAACGTAAATTCCATGAGTTCTTAAAAATAATTAAAATAGAGATAGGGAGTTAGGTTACCTTACTTTGGTGTTCGTCGTAATAGTGGTGTCACCGTCATTGAGTCTAGAGTCGAGTGGTCGGTGTGACTCTTGGATTCACTGGATATTTGGTCGCCATGGCTGCTCTGTCGCGCTGGTGAAAAGAAAGCAGAAGGCTAGGGATTAAAGAAGGGCAGAATTGAAAATAGGAAAAGGGAGAGCTGATTTTGGTTTTGGTTCAGCGTGTACTGGAAATAATAAAGGTGGGGTTATGTTTTTTTTTAATTTTTAGGTAAATTTGGCAATAGGTCCTTAGGTTCTAAAGATGCTTCATGCTTTATCACTAACTCATGGTATAATCACGCATAAGTCCTCTAAATTTAGTAAATACATATTATTCTCGTCACTAAGTTAAGGCTAAATCACTGTATGAGTCCTTTTCTTTAGCCCAAGTAACGTTTGGAGCATTAAATCATGGGTAAACATCCTTTAGGTCCCTAGATTCTTGTAGTGTTTTATTTAGATCACTAAAATTGGCATTTTTGTTATTTATTTCAATTTGGGCTACATATCATGTCTTATTTTGTTTTAGTCATTTATATGTTTTATGGTATTTTATTTAGGACATCATGTTTACATTTATTTTAATTTAGACCCCGTAGCATCAGTTATTGTATCATTTGATTATGATATTTATTTTATTTTTTTATTTTAGTTTAGTCACTATTAGTTTTTTATTTAGCATTGTTATTTTATTTTATTTTTCATTTGGATCCTTGTTTATTTTTTTATTTAATTATTATTTTATGTTTTGCATTTTAATCTACATAATTAGATTTTATTACAATTTAGGCCATGTATTTATTTTAAATTGATTGTTGAGGATCTTATTTGTTCATATATATTTATTAGATCCTTCTACTTTAATCCTTTAATTTTTCGTTTGTGTTATTTTAGTACTTTATTTTTTTATTTTTGGTATTTAATCCCTTAAGTTTTTGTTTTTCTTGCAGCTCGTTCTTAAGATTAATTCGACCCATAAATTTTAATTGTTTCCAATTTAATTTTTAATTTGATTTTTTTCATTCCTTTTATTTATTTATTTTATTTCAATCTTAATGCTAACTCTTTGTGTTTGTTTGTTTTATTTTCTTACTTTATTTATGATTTTTAGGATAATTTTAATCAATTAATGGTAAGTAATTTGAATCGAATCTCTAAATTTTAATTTAAATTGTTATTTTCGTAATTAAGATAAATTAAATGGTACCGAAAGGGCAGTTCAAGGGTGCTAATCCTTCCTTTACTGTAACCGACTCTCGAATCCGACATATTTCTGGTAAAACGCAGATCAGGTAAGATGGTATCCGATCAACCAAATTTTTTACGAAAAATAAATGATCGGTGGTGACTACAATATTTTTATTCCAAGTCGAAGCCAAATTCTGGAACCACCCGAAAGACAGTCGCGACACCTTGTAATAATTTTTAGTTACATTGGCAGTAGGGAATTGATAATTTTTCCTCGAGAAACAATTGACAATTGTTATGTCTTCTCTCTTCTTCCTCGTGTTTGGCAATTTGTTAGAAAAAAACAAAGGGCAAGTGCGGACCTACTCTGGTGAAGAAGAGTTATGTCGTGGCCATGTTCCCACAAATCATCTTTACATAGGTGATATATTCCTTATCAATATCAAGAATGTCACTACAAATTAAGTGGATATGTAGGTCGCTCGAAAAAGAAGAAGAAGAAGATGAAGAAGGTTTAACAGGAAGTAACATGTCACGTTAGATAAAACTAACGGGAGGTAACATCAGGGACTTTACTAGAAATGAACTAAAAGTTTAGTGACTGTATTGTAAGTTTTAAAGTTAGGTGACCAAAATGTAAGTGACCTAAAAGTTAGGTTACCGTTTATGTAGCTTACCCTTAATAAAACATACTTGAGTGAATAAGGACATGCCGGGACATTCATACCATTGTGTTTTGCCCTAGATTTGTGAGTGTTGATAATCATTCCAGAAAGAGAGCGTGGAGAGTTTGACATTGAGAAAGAGAGAAAAAAAGAAAGAAATTCAGGCTTTCCCAATCCCACGCGTGAATGGTATTTCATGCCTTCAAATTTCAAAACCCAAAGGCTCCTCCTTCATCACAGCTCTTAAAACCCCCACCACTTGCAAAATAAAAACATAGAGCTCTTGTTGTTCCCATAATCCTCGTATTACAACAATGGCTGCTGTGAGTTTCCTCTGTTGCTTTGTTGTCATCTGTTAATAATGTTTTCTGCAGGTGCTGATATAAAGTGGATGAACTTTGTTGTAGATGGTTCAAGTCAGAGTTCCCAATCTGGATTGTGAGGGCCGTGCTTCCAAGTTAAAGAAAGCTCTCTCAAAGCTCAAAGGTACTCCCTTACATTGAAGGTTTTTGAATTTGAATACTTGTACCAGTATGGTCTTGATGGTGCGCTCGGTTGTAGGAGTCGAGCGCACCATCGATAACAATAACCCTTTTGGTTCATGAACTTATGCACTTCATTGGTATGATCTTAAGTAGGGTTCACATGCATTTTTCCCCATTTTGTAGGGGTTGAAGAAGTGGAAGTAGAAATGGAGATCCAAAAAGTCACAGTACGAGGCTATGCCCTGGAAGAGAAGAAGGTGCTGAAAGCCGTTAAACGGGAGGAGGCGTGGCCGTTTCCGGGATACTCCCACTACGCATCGTTTTACAAGTATCCATCTTATATAGTGAACCATTACTATGACTACTACAAGAGTGAAGGTTCCATTAATGGTGTTCACACTTTCTTCCATACACCAGCTCTTTACTCTGTTGCTGTTGCTTCCGATGAGGCTGTTGCCTCACTTTTCAACGACGATAATCCACATGCTTACTCTATCATATGAACCTTCATATATAAATTTATATATTGCAAGTTTTATTTTTTAAAAAGATAAAATACACAAATAATCCCGCTATAATATAATGTTTTACTGAGTTATTTTACAATTAAAAGTTATAAAATAGTGTTGTTTTGTCTAGCTTTTCAACTATTAAAAATTATAAAATGGTCATTTGATTATTAATTATGTTCAAAACTCATTTTTTTATGTTAAAAGATTAACGGTAATATGAGTTGGACGTTAACATGCTAACTGAAATATGATAATCTTTTGAGGTTATGAGATAATATTTTACCATATCTCAATCAACTGGTTAGGTTGTCGTCAAATTTTTAACAAAAACTGACAAGTTTAGAACATGATGAATAATCAAAACCATTTTGTGACTTTTAATAGTAAAGGGATTTAATAAAGTAATTCCCTATAATCGGAGGATAATTTTGTAACTTTAAATAATCAGAGACTTAATAAAATAATATCATATAGTCAGAGGATCATTTATGTACTTTATCCTTAAAAATATTTTTTTATATTTTATTTTTATTTTGTACTAAATGTGTGTTGAAACCTCAATTTTTGTTTGAGTTGCTATCCACGCTGCTTGCTTTTTGAGTGTTTGCTTTGCATGTAGATGATAGGGCTGACCTGGCAGAGTGGGGATATTCAAGGAAAGCATCCTCACTTTAATTAAAATTCTGTCTTCTTTACTTTTTCATGTCTGCTTCTCTTACTTTTGAATGGAGGAATCTTAAAAATAACAGGGTAAATTTTTTTCATTAGTCTTCAAACTATTATCATTTTTCTATTTTTGTCACAAAATATTATTTTGACAAAAATATAATTAATATTAAGTTTTTTTTTCTTATTTTCATCATTTATCGTCAAAAAATTAATAACGATATTAACTTGATTTTCTCAAGTCAATTTCTCTCTCCTTATTAACAACTTATGTGCCGCTTTTTAATGATTTTATTTGGACCAATAAATTAGTGACACATGTCACCACGATACCATCTTATCAAAGAAATAAAAAATTTAAAGCGATGAGAGAAAATGACATGAAAAATTAAAAAAAAAAAAGAAAATAAAGATTTTATGTCGATATCTCCATTAATTTTTAATAATTTGATAATAAAAATAAGGAAAAAAAACATAAGGTTAATAATGTTTTTTTCAGATAAAAAATAGTTTGATCACCGAAATAAAAAAAGGTAATAGATTGATGATTAAATGATGTAATTTACCCAAAATAATAATATAGGAAAGCCTCCCTTTCCAACTTGTCCATAACCACAACCCTTCAATTTGACTTCATAATTCATTCACAATAAATCCAGAATTTTTGAAAATGACTTGTTGAGAAAAGGAGAATAGAAAATTGGAAAGTGCCTACCAATATGTGGACCCTCTACTGTACTTTATTTCTCAAATTCCAATATTATAAAGATAAAAGGACAAATTTTCTATTGAAGTTATAAATCTATAGCTAAAAATAAAGAAAAATAATATATCGCTTAAATAAGATATTAAATTTGAGTCTTTATGTTTGTAGAAAATCTTTATTATAAAATCTAACTATCAAAATCTTCGGAAATACATAATTACGATATGTTGTAATAATTATCATAGTTTACAAGTTTTGTTTTCTTTAATAGTTTAAGAGATTATAAAATAATATATGTTTATATTTTTTAAAAATATTAATGTATATACACTTTTAAAACACAGTGGTTTAAACTTTGGACCTCTAATAAAAACAATCCTTTTAAGTTTTAACCACTGAGTTTGTTAGATGAGTTATTTTATAATTAATATTATTTAAAAATTAAATTTATATAATTATATAAGGCTTAAATGTAAAATAAGTGTTCAAACTATAACGTTTTTTACGAATAGGAGCATAAAGTATTTTTGACTTATCTCAATGCCTAAAATTACAAACATTACCATTTTAAGTGCTCGGACTATCAACGATATTAATTTTCTCGTTAAGTGACACGTGTCACAATAAGGTAATTTTAAAATTTAAAAATTTAAAAATTTATGCTTTAAAAAATATAAAATTTTTGAAATAACCCAAAAACTTTGAAAACCTTCATTTCAATCCCTAAATCCATACTGACTATCGCCCCTTACCGTCGACGAAGCTCCACCATTCCTCACCTCCCCTAGGCGACCAAAATCCCTATGAAATCGTGACCGGTCAATGACCAATTGATAGTGAATCGATGTTTCATACCCTGTAAACCCTGTGATGAAAATCGCAATCTCCGCAATTCTGATGAACAATTGGCGGTACCTACTTTGACGTATGAATAGAAGGATGACAGGAACTACTTAGGCGATGACGAGTTAATTTTAGGATTTGAGAATTTTATGGGATTGAGACTTTTTTATAATTTAAGAGAAAATGATGTTTTTTTATAACTATAATAATAATTTTAATATTTTTAAAGATTAAATTTTAATATCACCCAATTATGACAAGTGTTACTAAACGAAACGAAAGAAATTAATACTGTTGACGGTCTATACACCTAAAATGATAATATTTATAATTTTACACTCCTAAAAACGGTACATTTTGAGCACTTGAACTCAGTTAAGATTATGTTTTCATCTATAAACTCTCAATTTCAAAGCAAATGTGTTCATTCGATCAAAAGTCTGCCATGTAAACCAGAGTGTGGACCACAAATTTCACACTTTATAAAGGCCAACTGGTCCTCAAAAACTCAATTACTTCCTCTAATCAGCTCAATTTGCGCAGCAAAATGGCTCAGGTGATCCTTTCCCAACTTTGTTCTTAACGATTCTACTAGAACGCCACTTATTTATTTATCATGTTGATGTTATTCTTCTTCTTTCCCTTTCTCTTTTCCTCCCCATCGTATGTAGTAATCTCGTTTCACTGTTATAGCAGAAGGTGGTATTGAAAGTTCTAACCATGACGGATGAAAAAACCAAGAAAAAATCCATAGAAGCTGCTGCAGATATCTTTGGTATTCTATCAAACACCTTGTCTGCAATATCAAAAAAATTCAGATCTCGCTCGTCTATGCCCAACTTTTTATGGATATTATTACGAATCGGAACTCGTTTTTTGAATGTGGACAGGAGTTGACTCAATAGCGGCGGATCTGAAGGATCAGAAGCTGACGGTGATCGGAGAAATGGATGCGGTGGCGGTGGTGAAGAAACTGAAGAAAGTTGGCAAAGTGGATATCATATCGATCGGACCTGCTAAGGAAGAGAAGAAGGAAGAGAAGAAGGAAAAGAAAGAGGAGAAGAAAGAAGAGAAGAAAGAGGAGAAGAAGGAAGAGAAGAAAGAGGAGAAGAAGGAAGAGAAGAAATAGCTAAACGATGGAAAAAAATCTGTGGATCGCAAGGTTGAAGACAAAGTTAATTTTTAGTTAAAGAAGAATAAATGAGCTAAATCCCAATGAACCATGTGAAAAGGGTTTTGGTTTCTTGTATTAGCATACTAAAATTAGATGGTTGATTGTTAGATAATTATGTATTTCTTTAGCTATTAATCCTTTAAAAAATTATATGAAAAGTCCTTAATTCTAATAAAAAAATTATACAAAAAAACGATTAAACAACTTAAAAGCAATTAAAATAAATAAATGAATACACAAACACTCTCTTTAAGCAATGAAACCCTTAATGAGTTCTACTTATTTATATATATATATATATATATATATATATTCACATACACCAAATTTTAACTAATAAATCTAGTGTCGGATCCATTAAAGATTTAGGGTGAACATATATTCATCTTAAAATTTTATTTTTTTCAAATAATTACATATTTTAATAATTATATCCGGCTTAAAGTTTTAGTTGTGTCCATCTAGTATAAAAATTTATGTGATTAATATATCCATGGTTGGTGTTGGAGTCGTTAGTGCGATCAGTTAATATACGTCGTTGCTTAAATTGTTCATGATTTTGTTTATTAGACTATTACCAAGTGATCGTTGCAATATTTTAGTCACTGTCAGTATGTAACATAAATATTTAAAAAAGAAATATAAATTTGAATTAAAAAAAGAGAAAAATAACCTCAGTGACTAAAAATATCTTATAATATACGATTTTAACCATTTTTTTTGGATTTGTCAAAATTCGACTATCGCAATGCGAATATGTGCATTGCGATAGTCCAAGTTCGCGTTGCGATTTATTCCAAGTTCGCGCTACGATTTATTCCAAATTCGTTGCGATTTATTCCACGACCACGACCCGAGACGAGACGAGACAGATAGCGGCGGCGGCGGCGCGCGAGAGTCCCCCTTGTTCTCTATCACTCAACAAGGAAGTGGAAAAGCCAAGCCTTAAATACCATTTCCAATAGTGTTTCCAATACTATGTGGGATTGAGCATTACCAACACTTGTTCCCAATACTATGTGGGATTGAGCCTTAAATAGCTATATTATTTTTGAATGTTTTGCTTAAAATTGTAATAATCGCGATTGATTGTAGATTGACTTTTAATTATGACATATTTAATCGTATAATACTAATGCAATTGATTGTTGATTCAGTTGTTTTACGGTGCATGATTGTTAATTATTTCCTGAATAATCACATTGTATTGGAAACAAGTGTTGGTAATGCTCAATCCCACATAGTATTGGAAACATTATTGGGAATGGTATTTAAGTCTTGCCTTTCCCACTTCCTTGTTGAGTGATAGAGAACAAGGGGGACTCTCGCGCGCCGCCGCCGCCGTCTCATGGTCGTGGTCGTGGTAATACGTGTCTTCGACACGTCCGCGCGAATACTATCTTTTTAGAGAAAATTCTTAAGAAACAAATGCAATACTACCAGTCGTTGCGAACTTGGACTATCGCATTGTGATTTACATATTCGCATTGCGATAGTCCAAGTTCGTATATTATAAGGCATTTTTGGTCAATGAGGTTATTTTCTCTTAAAAAAATTGAAGTGTTGCCGTATCAGTTTAATACAGCAACACTTTTTTGATATAGTAACCGATATTCAATCTATTGATCAAATAATCCGGATCAAATATTGTAGAAGTAAAAACAATTTTCCTAATCTAATTTACTCGTTTATAATCGTCAGAATTCGAAGTTCTGATTTTAATTAAGAGATCTATTATCTCATTTTAATTAAAATCCCGCCCCGTATCGGCTTTAATATTCTTGAAAGCGAAAGCCTCGTAAATACAAAACTACACGTATGATGATGAAATCACCAAATCGTTCCATTGTTGGCATGCTTTGCATTGCTATTGTCTCGCATCCCGTCCGCGAAATTTAATGACGGTCATTAAAATATTAAGAGGTAACTGAACTTTCAAAAGTTATAAAACGGTCATTAATTCTATCGAACTATTGGTTACCATCTCATAACAGTCGATAAATTTAGTGATCATTTTATAACTTTTGAAAGCTCAATGATCAAAATAATCATCTGAGTATAGTTCAGTGACATGTGACGTACATAACCCTTTTTTCCTTTGTATTGCCATGCATTAAAGGAGAACTTGTTTCTCAATGCCGGAGGCTGCAATAACCCTGGTTTCCTAAGCGTAAACATGGCACTTTCAATAACTCAACCAAACCTGATCCAGAGAAGTATCAACATTGAAATTCCTAGACACATTTTAGCATCAACACAATTTATATCATTGTTCTCACTTTCGGGCCTCGGTGAAGTGAAAACGACTAAGAAAAGGACCGGGTAATAGGAGATCGAGAATATAAACGACTATCGTCTTTGATCTTCCCTAAGTCGATGTTTGGGAGTACATGACTGAGGAATGAACTTTGAGAATTGCCAAGAACAAGAGTTTATATATAATAGAAAGAAATATGAATTAAAATAACCTAGCACATGTTTCTCCTTGTTGAAATACCTAAAGCTTAAAGAATGAAACCTTATTCAGTTGACTAGTTCTACACCTCTAAATGAAGGACGGCAATGAAACATCATTCCTTCGCCTGTCAGGTCATTCAAGATTTTCACCTCTGTATGTTGGATTAAATCTGATGAGCAATACGGTCTCGGCAAAAAAAGTCACTGATGTGAGCAGCCTAGTAAAGCCGGGGAGGCCGAGAAGGTTACAAATGGAATGAAACACCAGCCAGGTTACGTTTCGGGTGAATCTATAGATGGAATCATGGGGAAAAATTGTTAGGGATGCATGGAACGTATGATACCTGTAGGACAAGGAAATAGAAGAGCAGCATTATCAGTTTATTGTCCTATTTCTCTAAGGAAATGATTCTTTTTAATCTCAAGTAATTTCAGGGAAAATTAAGAGACCAAGGTGCTTGACTATGAACAACATAATCATTAAAACAATTGCAGGCGCCGCCTATATTTGAATAAGATACAGAACTTAACAAGGGAGTGAAAACATTTAGGTATATCTTCTGAAATTGACAACATAAAGAAGTGGAAGCCATGCTTAAAAAAGGACTGAAACTATGTATAACTTTACTGCATTTGTGTTCATTGAATGAAATCGAACCTTTTGATTCATGAATCATAAGGTACATTCCTCGGTAGAAGGTCTCAAGAACACAAATGATTCATAAAGGAAAAGGACAATCCTGCAAGTCAATACCGAGCTACCCCAAGTGCACTTTCCTTAAAGGAAAAGGATTATTTTTACCATTATCATTTAATTTGCCTAATCACTGGATTAGGTTAATAGTTACAACTTAGAAAAATAAAACTAAAGAACAATAAGATAAAGAAGGGAAAAAAATCAATGTTAACATGCACCCAGAGGGCAATCGAGCATAATGGAAAGTATGACTAAGAAGGGAGATGATGAATTAATTTGGCTTTCCATTGAGTTCCATAGTTCCATCATTTCAACCAAATTGAATACCAAAAGATGAAAAGGGAAAGAAGAATGTGCATACCTACCCTTTCTAGTTGCTTGACATCTAGCTTGACATCTATTACAAGTAGCAGGTACGTGGAGCTGAAAGCTGACATAGCTTAACCAATGAGTATACTGGCATTTAAGTTACAATAAATAATCTTTATATTGTACAATCTACTGCTTAGCATCTTTTATATTTCTTGATCTTTGAGACCAGATGAACATATTGCCCCTTCTCCACCATGCTTCTTATTACCTCATGAGCTTTAGAAAACTTTCCAGCTCTCCGCAAATGACTCACTAGGGTACTGTACACAACAAAATTTGGGTTACATCCTCTCGCCTCCATTTCCTTAAGTATGGAACATGCCTCCTCAAACTTTCCGGCCATACAATAACCACGGATCATCGAATTGTATGTAAATACATTCGGAAGTTGTCCCTTGGCAATCATCTCATCAAACTTTTCTTGAGCTTTCTCCAGCTCCCCAGCCACAATGTATCCTGTAATGATTACAGTGTAGCAGACGACGTCAGGAACGAATCCATTCTTTATCATTTCATCGAAAAAGTACTTGCAAGCATCAATGTTTCCAGCACGACTCAGGCCATCTATCAATGTCGTGAAATGAAGAACACCTGGGTCTAGTCCCACCTCTTTCATGTGATTCAATAGATTAAGTGCTGCAAGTGGTTTATCCCCTTTGCCAAGAACATGCAGAAGGATGTTATATGTATGAAAATCAGGGGAAAATCCGCATCTACCCATTTCATCAAGTAATCTGTGGAATTGATCTAACTTCCCCAATTTGTATTTTGCATACATAAGGATATTGTAAGTAAGAATATCGGGGGGAAAACCATCAGCTATCATCTGCTGGTAAACCCACTCAATTAGCTTGTATTGATTCACAGAAAGAAGTGTATGCAGAATGGCATTGTATGAATGCTTAAATGGCCTGTAATTGAATGTTTTTGACTTGATGAACCTCTCCACAACTTTCCGAGCTAAGCCCGTCTCCCCACATGTGCATATCAAAATATTAAATGTCCTGGCAGTTGTAGGGACGCCGATCTCGGTCATCTCATCGACTAGTCTCCACATTGCCTTGTATTCCTCACACTCTGCACATATCTTCATTATCCAATGATATGAGTCTGCAGTGTGCCTATAAGCTTCTCGCTGACCAGACCACATGAAAAACTTGTATCCGAGTTTCGCGCACCTGGTCTTATTCGCATAATTTATGTTCTTCAGAATTCCCTTGAGAACTTCTCTCACAAGAAACCCCGAGACCCTCACCTGCATTTCACTAATAGCAGCTTTTGCATCAAATCCTGGCCCATCTCGTTCTAAAACCTCAAGAATTCTCCTAGCATCATCCCTTCCACTCTCGAGAAACCCTTTTCTAGCCGTAAACAGGGCCTCGGAGCCGCTTTCATAACCCCCACAATTATCACGAGTTTCATCAAAAACAGAACCAATACTTGGACCCTTCCACATTCTCCTCAAGGGTTCATCCGAACAATAAAAATCACTATCAATTTTATAGCCATCAAAACTACTACCGCTACATAACTTTCTCCATAAAATGAGGGCACCACATGATTTATAAACATTCCTTGCACGGAATAGAGCTAAAGAGTTCATTTTGAGAACCAATTAAGCAATGGGTCACTCCAATTATCTTTGAATTTTTACAAAACCCAGCGAATTGGAAAACTCCAGTTGATAAATACCCATTAAGCTGAAAACACCCAATTGCACGGTAGCGGTTTATTGGGATGAGACAAGTTCATTGAATAGCTACAGTTTCCTATTGAACGATTGGAAGGGGGCCTTACCTGGGATCAAAGAGGCTGATGAAGGGATTATATAAGCTTTTGAGGAGGTTAGAGATTTTGCTGCTGCTAAAAGAGTAGAGGCGAAGAGACAAACAAGAAGAAGAAGATGCCGATATGCGAGGAACTAATCAAGGAGTTCAATCTCGATCAGGGTTTATGCGACGGCGCGTTATTGCTGCTGCCGTTTTGGTGACGGAAACGGGCATTTTAATGGGCTGAGTGTCCTGATCCGATACGGGGTTTCGAAATTTGGGTTTAGGCTGGTTCGTGATATATTTTTTGTTTTTATTTTATTAATATGGCGTTTTTGTTTTGTTTTATTAATATAAATAATAATCTAATTATTCAATAAAATGTGATTTAATTTGATTTTGTTGTATTAAAATTTTTAAAAATTCAGTTCAAATTAGAATCAAATTTAAATAAAATTACTCAATTCAAAAATAATAATTCAATTAACTTTTATATATTTAGATCAATCTCTTTATTTTTTAATTAAATTTATTTTTTTTTGTAAAATTAAAACATATATTTATATCCAATCAAATTATCAGATAAAATATTTCTAAAATTGTGGGATGGAGAAAATATTTGAGTATATCAAAAATATAATCCAAGTGAACTAAACATATAATCATCCTAATTTCATAAATATACAAATCTATATTTATAATTTATAGTTGTAAAATATAATTATATATACAAATCTTGGTGGCTAACATTATAAACATTATCATTTTAGTTGTCTGAGCCGTCAACGACGTTCATTCTTCCGTTAAATGACATTTATCACAATCTGATAAATTTGAAATTTATTTTTTTAAAATATTATTATATTTATAAAAAACTAATTTCTCTTAAATTACAAAAAAACTCAAATCTCTAAAATCCTCAAATCTTAACCCTAACTCGTCGTCACCCTTTCTGGTCACAACTAACACCACTGACGCAGTCCTTGTCATCCTCCTAGTTATACACTACCGTAGTTGTCGCCAATTGGCCCTTGGAATCGTGTAGGATCACAATTTTCATCATAGGGTTCACAGGGTATAAAACGTCGATTTCTCGTTGATTGATCGTGATTTCATAGGAGCTTTAGTGTTGAGTTAATCGATCTACGGAATCGACCAAGAGGGGGGTGAATTGGCAATTAAAAATTTCGTGGAAGCTTTTGCAGAAAATTTAAAGTAATTGCACAGCGGTTTACAGTGGTTCGACTTTCTCAAACAAAGTCTACGTCCACTACCTTAGCTATCCACACTAAGGATTTTCCAACAAATTCACTAATTTGTTCTTTCTTTTGAGGCCAAAGAGATAACCTTACAAAATCCCTCAAGAGTATACCCCAACTCTTGAGAACACTCTTTTTCCCAAAGAGAAGATTACAAATTTGCAAACTTACAAGAAAATCTCACAAGGTAAGATGTTTGCACAATTCTAGAACAAAGAAAAGAACACTCAAGGATAAATACAATTGAGTACAAAAGTGTTCTTGAAAGCAAATGAATATTGGATGAAAAATAGGCTTGAAATACTCAAACTTGAGGTTTGATGCTTTCTCTTTGATTCTCTCTTGATTCTAGTTGATTGATGTTTCTTGTTCTTGATCAATGGCTCCAGAACTTGTTTAAATACCCCTTGAATCAATTCTGAACGTTGGTGATAATTAGTGGGGATAATAGAGCCGTTTAAGTGTGAAAACAATTAATTTTTTTAGGTGGAGCGTCTCATGCATCGATGCATGATCAAGTATGCATCGGTGCATTTGTGTAAAATTCAAATATTTTGACCGTTGGAACACTTGATGCATCGGTGCACCAAGTGTGCATCGATGCATGAAATGCATTCGATGTTTGAAAAATAGCCTGATGCATCGATGCATGGCTTGTGCATCGATGCATCAAATGCATTCGATGTTTTGAAAATATTCAGAGTGCATCGATGCATATAGAGTTCATCGGTGAATGGAATGCATTCGATGTTCAATTAATTCATCGATGCATCGATGCATGGACTGATGCATCGGTGCATGCCTTTGAATAATTGATTTAAGGCATGTTTTTGGTTCAAAATACTTTGTGAAAATTGTTTCAAAAATAGTTTAAGTACAAATCACAATTTTACACATTTAGTAAGGATTAAAATTGATCTTGAAAAACTTGGAGTAATAATTTGATATTCGGTTAATTGAATCGAATTTGTAAAATCATTTGTGAAATCTTAAAATTCATTTAACTTAATTTGTTATATCGAAATATCAAAAATGTTTTCAACAATCTCCTCCTTTTTGATATAACAAAACATTTGAATAATTTTAAGATTTGTTTAAGAAATTATTTTTGAAATCGATTTTGAAAAACTTACTCCCCCTTACTATAGCACATCTATCGAACATCTTAAATTTTCTCCCCCTTTTTGTTAAATCAAAAAGACTCTATATAAACGTTTTAAACAAGAATTTTGAAAAACATTAGCCAATTTATTTATTAATAATAAGCTGCTAAGATCACAATCAAAAGAGAGATTAGCTATTAGTTTTCATAAACAATATTCATAATAAAATGTGAAATGGCATAATTGGTCATATATCTAATGATGCAAAATGAATAAAATTCAAACCAAATATATTAAAATTAAGTTCAAACATTCAAGCATCCAAACAAACATAAACATTCAAATCAAAAAGTTTAACAATCCAAGTTCTTAAAGTTTAAAACCAAATATCATCAAATAACGTTTAATCATCCATAGCGGAATCGGGAGGAGGAGGAGGATAATGAGCTCTAACTTCAAGAGTAAGAGCATCCATACGATCACGCATCTCCCTCTGAAACTCAGTAATCGTAGACTCCATGGAAGCAAAACGCAGATCAAACGACTCTAGAAAAGATTGGAAATAAGGTGGCATTTGATCATCTTGCCGAGCTGGTACTTCCTCGTCAATATCTCTCATAAGCCTTTGAAGCTCTGGATCATTATCAGCGTCAGGAGCTGGAGGAGGAGGAGGAACACGAGAAGAACTAGGAGCAGCTCGTGAAGAACTAGCTCCCGGGGTTTGCTTACCGGGTCGAAAAGACCATAGTCCGGTGTTCTCATCCAATTTCCAATCCGATTTCTTTAAGGATGTGATATTGATTGGGTTTTGGAGCGGAATAGGATTGTCAAGGGAGACATCTAGGCCGAGTTTGATAAACAAATTGCTTAGTAGACAACCATAAGGTAGGGTTTCTACATGCTTTGAGGGAATGATGTTTATGATATCGACAAGCGCGCTAAATACAATATGTGGAAAATTGATTTTCTTTTTGTTCTTTATACAGTGCATCCACCATAAGTCTGTAGTACGTAGTGTGGAGTACCGACCTGCGGATGGTCTAAACCACCAAGAGATCATTAAGTGAAAAAATCGATCGTGGTGAGACCTAAAGGTACTGACACTATCATTAGGAAGATATGGATATTCCACATCTTCTTTCTCATTAAATAAACCCTCGTCATCTAAACCAAAATGAGATGCGATGGATTCAGAAGTAATAGTGATATATTGTCCTAAAAGATAGGATCTAATCGCTATAGTACCGCACTAAGTTGTGTTCTGAATACAAACCGCATTGGAATAAAAGATGCGGACAAGTTGGTGAAAGACGATGGGTTGAAGAGAAAATAGTTTATCAAACTTCCATCGGCGAAGAATTGAGAGGTATTCAAATTCAAGTTTTATCATAGCTTGTAGAGAAGGAATACGCTCTTCCCTAATACGATAGGATTGGAAGGAGTTCATGTACCTAGAGTACAATTCATCCCTACGGTTTTCAGGCATGTTAAAACAAGTACTAATGAGGGATGAAGGAATATTGGATGGATTTTGAGGTCTAGGAGCGGGAGGACGGTTTTGGTAAGACCGACTCGAGGATGATCTAGGGCTTTTGGGATTAGACATGGTTAGGGAAATCAGAAAAGAAATATCACCTGCAATTTAAAAACACATGTATGCACAAAATTCAATCCCAAAACTCAAATGAGTCCTCAATATTTCAAGGTTCTCTAACATAATCCTAATGGGCAAAGTTTTGAAAACTATTTAAAATTAATATCATAATACGCATAGTTTTCATGAAAACAACACAATTGAATCAATAATTTTTGAAATAATAATAATAAATTTTTTTTTTGAATTCAAAATTTCCAAATAATTTTGAAAAATTATGCGTTTTTGATGAAATTCGTTGTAGAAACTAGTTTAGAATCATCATATAGCCAATGGCCGATAATTATTTCAAACTAGAACTAATCTAAACTAGTCCTAAGTTCAAAAATTTAATGAAATAGAGTTTTTGTGAAAATACCTTGAAAAATTCGGATTGACGGGAATGAGGAGATGTTTTGTGCGATTTAATGAGTGTAGCAGGTTTGTAGGATGAAAAACTTGAAGAATCCGATGTTTTTCTGAAGATTTTGAGCAAAAATAGAGATTTGAGGTGAGAGGGGGACGAACGGCCGAGAGTTTGTGTTTTAGGTTTTGAGAAAAATGAAGAAGATGAAGATTTTAAACCTAAAACCCGACGGATGCATCGGTGCATGGTCTTATGCATCGATGCATTGTTAAATGCATCGGTGCATGAAGCGCAAAAATGTCAAAAATCCATTTTAAACACTTAAAATGCTAAATAATTTGGCTCTAATGGTAATGGCAACTCATATATATCAAAAATTAATTATGTTCAATCAATCAAATTAATCTTCAAACTTTATTTGAACATAAAATTAATTTTTATTAAGAATCATAAACTCCCCCTAACTAATAGCAAGAATACAATCAAAAATTATTATAAGCATTTTTCAGTATTTATTAAAAGTGCTAAATTATTTTAAACACTAAGTGAAGATAGGTCAGTTAAACCTAATTCTCTTCTAAGTGTCCAAAATCTTTCTTTATCTAAGGGTTTTGTAAAAATATCCGCTAATTGGTGCAAAGTATCAACAAATTCTAGAACTACATCTTCCTTAGTGACATGGTCTCTAATGAAGTGATGTCTTATTTCAATATGTTTAGTTCTAGAGTGTTGGATGGGATTTTTAGTGAGACAAATAGCACTAGTATTGTCACACTTGATAGGAATAGTACCTACTTCAATTCCATAATCAAAAAGTTGTTGTTTCATCCATAAAAC